CTCTATGTTCTTTATGTAGTTGAGTTCTTACATTATCCCAAATGTTTCCAACAAAGTTCAAACTCAGAGAAATCTCTCTTTTTATTCAGGTAACGCTGCGTTTCACCGGTTGCCTGTCGATGGCGTCATATCGCGCCTTTGTGCCTGCGTCAGCGTTGTGGTTGTGAGAAGCAGTGATTTTTAAGTGTTTTGATGTGGCAGAAATTGCATATTGCACAATTAAATAATAAAAATGTCAACACTAACTGCTAGTATGAGACAGAAGATAAACACGCCCTTTAACATCTCTAACATACACACAGAAGTCATCCGTACAGTTGCATCCTCACCTGAGTTGGAGCTGTACATGTAGACGAACCTGGTCCACTCGAAGCGCTCCAGCAGGGCCATGAGGGGCTCCTGCAGCTGGGGCCGCAGCTGCAGGACGAACTGGTTGTTGGTGTGAACGGGGAAGGACGGCGTGACGAAGCAGACGTGCAGAGAGCCGCAGAAAGACATCAGCATGTTGACCGTCCGCCGGTCGTACAGACCCATGATGGCGTACACGCCCTTGGAGAACTGGGAGCAGACTGCGACAGAAGGAGGAAGAAGAAGAGAGGATTATTATTTTCAGATAACCACATGTACAGTTTAAAGTTAGTCTTTGTACAACTGGTTCCAGATGTTAAAACGTTTGAGCTTCTGCTCGCTGCAGGAGTAAAATAATGTTGATTAATGGGCAAATAATTATTTTGATAATCAATCGGCGGCCGTGAAACTTTTGAAAGGTCCTATTTTCAGCCAGTGTTTGGTTTGTCCATTCAGGGCTCCTGTAGAAACATGGCAGACTCCGCCAGAAGAGGACCCTCTGTAGATAAAAACATCTCATCATAAGGTAACTAAAACACAATGATTCTTATATTCAGGTGATTATACACTAATGAAAACATACCTGTAAATATTATATTCCATTTCTGCCATATCTCATTGCTAAGCTAGCATGCTAACATTTGCTAATTTGCACAGAATGCAGAGTACAGTTCAGGGCTGCTAGTTTAGCAGGAATTTGGTCATGAACCAAAAGTATTGGACAGATTAAGATTTTGCAAACACAGACAGACGTGTGAAGAATAAGCATTTTGTGTTTTTCAGCAGAAAACAAGAATAACAGATTTAGTTGCTGTCTGAGCTGTTTGTTCCACTTGTATGTTTTAATTTTTTTGTTTTGTCCTGTATCATTGTCTCTTCACTGTAACATCCACATGACCTCTTTTACCCTCTCATCCCTCTCTGTCAGTGCACATCCCTCCATCATCTGCCCTCTCTTTCACCTTCTGTCCTCATCCTTTAAATCTTGTCCAAAAATGACATTTGTCTGGTTGTCTGTCTTGTTGTTCAAGCTCCAGTTTGTCCTAAAATCCAGGTCACCAAACAAACCAAAAGTAAAACATAGTTCATGTTTGCTCTGTTTTCTGTGACCGCTCTGTGCTTCACACACAGGAAATATTCACAATCACATTGATCAATAATGGCTTGGAAAGAAAAATAAAAAATCAGTAAAGCATTGAATAGAAATATCTACAGGTGGCATTAGAAATGAATAAATAGTTTTATAGATATTTTTTGGTCTTTTTTCATTGAACTTAAGCCTGAAATGTGGCTATAATACGTGATTAAATTCATTTCTGTTAAATTTTACAGCATTTGTCACCAAATGGCAGTGGTTGGTGTAGCAAGGCGATAAAAATGTGTCTTTGACATAGCTTACACAGAATGAAAACAAAAATATACGCATTTAAAGAAAAGATACAGTCTGAAAACAGTTTTAACGTTATAGATGCAACTACATCGGTATTCAGACCCCTGGATGGATCTAAATGTACCATTTATTGGTCTGATTCTAAAGTTAGGAATCTGCTGACTGAAGCTTACAGAGCGCCATCAAATCCAAAGTCCGGAAGACATTTGGATTCTATAAGAAGGAAAGTCTGTCCATACGTAAGATCTGTCAGACAGCAGTTAGTTAGCAGTCCAGCGGTAGCACAACAGATCTCAACACTCACCTGGTGACACCTGTGCAGGCGGCGAGGAGTCTGTGGATACTAATACAGTTAGCATAAGCAACAACATGCAAGATACTAAACACTTTACAGCCACAACTGAGCTCCAGCTTGTCTAAGGCAGAGGTTTGATAATGTCTTACTTGGGCACCATAATAAATACTCACATACTACATTCGCTTCCCCATCACCCACCTTTCTCTTAATGTGACGATACTTCCTCAATTACGAGCCACTATTACTCTTTACAGGGCAAATGTTATCCATCGTCTTCCTCATGCAGTCTTTAATAAACTCTGTAAAAGGCATGATCTGTCTGAGAGCGAGCATTCCTTACAAACAGCGGCGGCCCTCGTTATCGACCAATGACAAAACTATCAGCAACTTGAATTAACTAAAACAATGAATGACCTGCAATTCTGAAAAAGAGACTTTGGTTTTTTATAAACTATTTGTATTTGAAGATAAGAAATGTCACTTTTTATAGAATTGGCTTTTTTTAATTTAGAAAATAAAGATCTACATTAAGCAAAGGTTAAGAATTGTCCCTGAATCGTATCGTAGCGCATGTATCTTGATAGGTATTGGATCGTCCCTCGCTAACACACACACACTTGTATTTGCACATATATTTGTTGGGCTATAAAGTGTTGAAGCACTAATTCTCTCAGTGCTTGTTTATTACTTTAATGGCAGCTGGTATGATTGATTTCTTGAATATATTTTGGCCAGACGGCGACATTTAAGCTTTTGCATTTAGTCCAAACAGTGACGTCTCCTCCATTTTGTCACATTTTTAGGCTCCATCTCTAATTTAAAACAACTTCCCCTGCAGAGCCTGTGATTTCTGTCATTTGTCATGCACGTTTAATGTTTTATCTGCTTTTGTCTATTTTTCGAATCTGTACGCAACATAGAACAGCAAAATCACCACTTGGTAATAAGCTAAATATAAATGTATATAAATAATATAATATAAAATATGTCTGCCCTAAAAATGTTAGCAGGCAGACACCATGTTAAAAATACCATGTTCTTATACCGACAGGCTTCTAGAGGACTCTTTAAGGTCTGTAGTAAAGTAAAGTAAAGGGGTCCAACGTCGCAGGCTTCAGCCCTCAAAGTTTCTTTAAAATCAAACTGTTCAAATATCAATAAATCAGCATTAGATCAGCCACATACAGTATGTGTGTCATCCACTCTGTGTGTGTGTGTGTGTGTGTGTGTGTCCTCAGTGCGGCCTCAGATCCCCGCCGGGCAGCGCTAACATGCTAACAACAAGCAAGGTCCCTCTGAGCTGGCTAGCACTGGAAATAACCGTTCCCTCCGGGGCCACGCTATCATGCTAACAATAGACGTCTGCCCTCGGGGGGGGGGAATGCTATCATGCTAACGAGGTATCTGTCTCTTAGCATTAGCGCTGCTGTCCCACTGGGACGACTGACCGCTCCTTCATCAAAGAGGGCCAGGCAGCAGAGAGTCGACAGATGCTGTGAGCCTTGGGAGTATTTGCAGTTATTTGTGTTTGGGTCAACATCCCCGTGATGGGGGTCCAGATGTGCGACCTACAAGAGGAGGCAATGAAGTGATGTCTAATGTTTGTTTTTAATTCATGACCTGCTGCCCTCCTGTAATCAATGAGCTCTGTGTGAACTCTTATTCCTGTTACTTCATCTGTAGGCGTTTTGTGCGCATGCGCGAAAGCTG